TAATACTAAATAATAATAATATAATAATAATAATAATAACTAATAATAAAATAATAATAAATCGTTCTATAACACTAGTTACAAACTTAACAAATCCAGATAACTTTATACTCTTTAACAAAGAACAACTAATAGTGATTAATAATAAAAAACTATTCAAATATTTGAAAGCATAATTTTCAACTAATAAAAGACCAACATTAGTACAAAAAGAAATAATGACTAAAGTAATAATTAATCTAAGAAAGTTACAATTTGCTAATATAACAGAAAAACAAATGATTTATATTATAAATAATGTTATTATTTTATAACTTTTTTATTGACTATACTCTTCATTTCTTATCTTAGTCCAAGCAAACACTTTTAACAAAATGTGTACTAAATTAGTTAAATATAAGGCAAAACTAGCTTAAGGAATTCCTAACTTCTTTCTATATAATCCAAACATTTATGTATTAACAAATATAGCTTAAGTACAACTTTTAGCACTAGTTACAATACTTCAAAAAAATTTAAACTATTTAGATTTTGACTTCTTCTTTTTGAAACTATGTCTATAATAACTACAAAACACTGTATTTACTAATATCTCTATCCTAGTACAATCTTCAATTTTTTCAATAACTCAAACAAATATACAAACTGGTCAAATAGTACTAGCATTATATGCATTAGGTATGCAAACTTCAAAAAATATTAATGATTGGTTCTATCCAAAAAAATTTACAAACAACTTTATAAATCAAATACTAATACAACATTTTAAAGTCTTCTATCTTAAAAAAAAACTAAACAGATACAACATTTATTGCATTAAGCAATTTCTAAATACAATTAACACAGAACTATTAACATAAAATCAATTTTATTATAACATCAAAAAAATACTAAAAGGCCAGTGACCATATTGGTTTTATATGATACAAGACTTAATAGCTATATCTACAAATCTATTCTTAACATATTCATAATGCAATTCATATATCTTGGCTAATTGGACTTCTACTAAAAAAAGCTGGATAATTACAAATAACTTAACTTTCAAAAGGACTGCAAAAAAAGAATTTATATTAATTTAGAAGATTTTAAAAAAACCTTAACACTAACTCTATTAACAATATTAAGAACTTATAACCAAACAGTGCACCCAACTTTGGTCTGTCTCCTATGCTCCTTTATAAACCCACTAATAACACTCTGGAATGAACTTGTAAAGGCCAACTTTAATACAAAAACTACAATAATCCATATAACAAGTAGATGACAAAACATCAAAAATACCTCTCGAATAATAGCAAAGTGTTACTTCTAACACTCTTATCTAACTTTTGAATATTTTAACAACTCTTAACTATTCTATCTGAATATACTAATAACTACATTAAATTTTATACTTCATTAAGTTTTTGCACTTTGATAAATATATATACTAATAAAATCTTTTTAGTTAATCTTGTCAACTTTACAAATTTAATCCAATTAATAATTATTTAATACTAGACAAACAACAATACATCTTTTTTTTTCTAATTCTAAAAACCTTAGCATATAATTATATACTTACAATGATCTTTGACAAAGATCTTTAAATTCAAGAAACCTCAAGCACTATTTTTTTACTAAACTCTGTATTTCAAAAGTTTTTATATAATCAATTTGTTTTAAAGCTTTTAGAAAATTCTTGCACTTATCTGGTAAAAACTATACTGAAACAAGTATATCAAATTACAAATCATTTGACATAGTTTAACTAACAACAAATCTCACTATAGTATACTTCTCAGAATAATATTAATTAGTTATTAACTCTACAATACATATTATATGAAGAAAAACTTTTAGTTTTAACAACTAATCCAACCTTATCAACAATTAAAAACTTCAAAATCAAACTAATATTTGAAGAACTATCTACTTATCTTTTTTATCATTAGAGAAATGTTACAAAACATTCAAACCATTTCTGTGCAAGATGTTATAATATATTAGAAACTATTATACACCTTCTAATATGTCTTAGAAACAATTCAAATCTCAAAATACTAATAAAATATATATTGATTGAAACTGTAAACAAGTTGAAATTATACTGCAATAATACAAAAAATTTATTTGAGTCTTTACTTACAACCATATCAACAAACAAATATTACTGAGAATAATAATAAATGCTACTTTAGCATGATTCGAAAACAACAAGCATAAATATAAATATGGATCTTTTATTCACTACAACATTATTTTAACAATATATAAAAAAAACTGGCTCACTTTTAGAGCAATATAGCATGAATCTGCTATTCCAATCACACTTCTGATATAACTACCAACTCTAATTAAAACTATATCAATCTCATATTCTATATTAAATAAAAAGATACAACTCTATGTTATATATGTACAATTTTTTTTTTATCAGCTTATTAAAGACTAGAGGTTTACTGACTATTCTAGCAAAAAATAGATCAAGAGTAAAGTAGTTCTTATCTTCATCTCTTTTAGTATAGTTTTTTTATCATATATCTTATATATATGTATAATTAACTAATTAATAAAAGAGATAGAGAATAAGTCTTTTTTTTAAAAAAAAATTTTTTTTACTATCAATAGAATTTGAACATCCAATATACTACTTGGGATTTGGCAATCTGATTACTTTACTAGGTTATCATATCTTTACTCAAAGATTCTACACTAGTTGCTATATCTATAATCTATTAAAAAATTATTTATTTAAACATTCTGATTCTTATACTGCATTTAAACAAATACTATCTAGTTTTTGTACAACTAAGTACTATCTAACTCAATATTTAGCTTTTTTTTTTAACATCTGTTAGGTTGTTATATTTTAGAACATGTTATCTAACTGTAAGACTTCAAAATACCTTCTGTTAACTACTTATCTACTCTATAAAATATTAACAAAACTGACTTTTGTAAAGTCTATCTATAATATAGTATCTACTTTATAGTATATTTTTAATACATTAGTATATATCTGTTTTATTCTTAGACTCTCAATACAGATAGCTTAAAAGGACTATAATTTGTACCTAATATATCAAGTTTAGTCTAATATTCTTTTTTTCTGAATCAACTTAGTAGTTTGATTAGTATTATTTCTTATTTAAAGATTCTTGCCTATCTGATTTTTTTATATTGATATTTGTTTTCTAAGTTTAACTTTTACAGTAATATTATTAAAGATATGTGTTACTTATTTACTTGAGTTTTCCAAGTAAGCTTTAGTTTTTTTCAGTTTTACAGATTTATACAACTAAAAAACTTATCTTGAATTTAAACTATCTAATACTAGTTTATATTACTCTATATAATCAAGGTTATATATATACTCTATAATCTGTTAGTTATGCTAGTATGATCATAGTTATAGATATCTTATTTCAACTGATCAACAGAATGTTATTAGCAGCAAAAATAGCACGAGCAATATCATTTTATAATCATAATATTGCCACGTAGTGCTATTTTTGATACTACTAAAATCGGTTATGCTGGTACGTATCGGTATAGTGTAAATATAAATTTAAAGTTTTAAGCCTCTAGACCTATAATTGGTTTTATTTAGTAATATATATATCTTATTTAAGTAAGATTATTTACTCCGTGATCTGCGATCTGCATGACAAATATGGGACTTATTCTAATGAGAGGTATTCTAAGTATAGATTACGTACATAGTATCACATTTAATGCTGTAATGTATGCAATTAATGAAGGAAGGGTTTTTTTGTTACGTGAATTATATTTACAATATGAGACCTGCATTAAGAGAAAAGTGCACCAACCTTTTAAAATTCATAGATGCAGAAACTTAACACTTATATTCTTTGATTGTATTTTTTTTTTTTTTAAAAAAAAAAAGAGTTCTTTATTCGGAATAGTTGTTTGGAGGTTCCGTCCGATATTTATGGTTAAAAACTATCGCTACGTATAATGTTCTAAATACTAATTTTGGTCAGCAGTCTAATTCAGTGCCATACACTAAAGAGTTTATGTACGTGCCAGAGGTTGGAGGCGCTAGTCTATTTGAAAAGCGTTTCCATAATTATCTGCCAAGATAACCAAGAAGCCAAGATTATTAGAAAGCTTTGTATACATGCCTAAACATGTGTTTTTTTACCCGCAGTAAAAAATTCTGTCAATGTATTGCTGTATTGCATTATTTGTGTACTCTCTTGATGCCATTTATGGAAATTATTACTTATTGCATTTATTGAAATATATCCGAAACGCAAATCTAAATGCTACGTAGATATTTTTCTTTCTCTCTTTTTTCTAGTTTTAGCAGTTTTTCAGTTTTTTTCAGCAGGATCGATCAATATCCCGGACTCTCTTGACCATTGAATTTTTAAATAAATCATGATAATAAAATTTACCACTTCCTTATTAATGATACCTTTCGTTTTTATACTCACATTATCGCCAATAATTTCTGCTCAATGTTTTGTTGCAGACCCATATAATCCAAGAAATCTAACACATAGAAATTGTGACATGATTACGGAGCAGCCAAAAAAGAACAATTTGAATGCGGCAATAAAAAATGATACCATGTTCGACATAACATTGACTTGTAATGCTAATGACACTATATGCAACAAAGTCAAAATTGCTTTTGATACTGCTGCTCAAATAATTTCATCAACGTTTATCCTAAATAGTCGAATTTCTCTTAATGCTTCTTTTATATCATTCTGTAATGGTGTTCCAAATTGTCGTAATGCGATCGTTTTAGGTATGTCTAAACAAGCCATGTTATAATAGCATTGATTCATTGTTTTAATCACATGATTGAATCAGGTCAAGCTGCGCCATCAAGTTGGATATTATTGCAAGACGACGATAATACCCAACGATTATACCCCCAAGCATTGGTCAAACAATTCCAATTTCCTACTCACCCAGCATATACCAGCTACGATATATTCGCCATGTTTAATTCTGATATACCGTATTGGTTCGCCAGTGACCCTCCGATAAGACCCGATCAATATGACTTTCTGTATGTAATGCTTCACGAGTTAATTCATGGTCTTGGTTTTGGTTCTAGTTGGGAAGAATACTTACCTGGCTTAGTGACTCCAATGCCAGCCATAAATCCGCTAAGTTCCACTAAATTCGATTTATACTCGTCAGACCCTCAGGCCAATGATAAAGTGAAATTTTATGAATGGGCGTTCGATAAGTACATGATATTCATTAACGGCACAAAAACCTCAAGTCTTACCATTCAATTGAATAAGTTTTTCTCGGGACGTTCTGGGACCCAGGCTGATTTTGATAATAATTTTGATAAATCCAATCAGTACTCCCTAGCAAGAAATATGTATTTAATATCGCAGACTCCAAATTCTTTAGCGTTTATGCCTCAAGGATCTACAAATCCAAGTGACTCATTGATATTAGAAACTTCTTTTAGACCTTTCAGGCAAGGCTCTAGCATTAGTCATGTAGATGCGGCAACTTACATGAATACTTCAGACTTTCTTATGAGGGCGCAGGCTAGAAATGGAACAACTATTAATATGCTGACTGGGAATTTTAGTTATGGGAGCGGCATTGGTCCTATATTGAAAAAAACAATGGAAACCATGGGGTATATATTAAAGAATGAGTTTTGCTATCTAAAAATATTATTCATGAAGAATGATTCTAACTGAATTCTAATATTATTTAGGTATACAAGTTTAGACAATCCAAATCCGTATAGACCTTCAATAATAGATCCGAGTACTTTAACTAGTTCATCAAATACAATAAAACCTTATCGTTTAAGGCTTGATATTGGTCTTATAATTACAATAATAACAACGTTAGTGCTTTATATATTGCCAAAAGAAATGGCATAGTTGATAGACATAAAAAAAAGACATTATTTTTAACAAGACATTTGTCAAAATAAACTGTAATTAGACATTTTTTATTTATTTTAAACTAATTAACCTAATTATTTTTTTACAGTAGCAAAAAATTTATATAATATTAAAAAGACTTTTTTAAAAAAACTTATTATATAAACAAAATTTACAAAATTAAATATTTATTGTTAAAAATAAAATGTATCTATGGTGCTTATAGTATTTATATTTTCTTTTGCTAAAATTTAGAGCTAGAATACAATTAAAGACTAAAATAAAAATTAGATATGAGTGTCTCTAAAAGAAAACCCGAAAATTTAAATATAAGTTATATTTAAATTTTCGGGTTTTCTTTGAGCGACACTCATATAAAGGTTCAAATGTAGATTAGTATGAAATTTTGAAGATTCTAAATATTTTTACTTAATATATCTGCCTTAGTTAATTATACAAATATACAATAGTATTAAACCGGATCCTATTAATTTCCCGATAAACACTTTCGACAATTCTCTTCTATAATTAGATTATAGTATTCTAACTATGTTATTTACTAACTATAATAAGCTGTAGTTACCTTTTTATTAACTATAATCATTCTATCTACTTTTTGTAATAATTTTTTCTTTTTTTAAATTGGTTAACTCTAATGGTTTTTGCTTTATTGCTATTAATTTGGTATATATACACAATCTTTTATATATTAGTACTAATCAGTATAGTTATATTTATTAAGTTTCAGATTATTAATTTGCAAATATTACATGTTTTTTTTGTATACATTCATAATTAGTTGGGTCTGTAGTTTGAGTACATATATTTTTTGCAGATATCTGTAATATAGTTTGAAACCAGTTTTATTTTTCTTAAATTAAATTTAATTAAAACTGGTTTTAAAATAAGAAAAATAAAACTGATATTAAACATTAATCTGTAAGTATACTATTACTATATTTTTAGATTGGTATTACAAAAAAATTAAAACTTTACTTATTGTATACAGATATAATAATTATTAATAACATTGTGATATTACATGGAGAACCAAGATAATGATGGTTAGACCCAATGTACAGGGCAGACTATGGCACTCTTTGCAGCTATGAAAACTGAGCTTAAAACAGCGAGCGATCCTACAGAAGATATACAACCCAAATTATTATCAACATCATTAAATTTCTATGATTGGACACCTGCTATAACAAATTTCTTCAATATTATTAACTTTCTTTATTGCATCTCCAACCTACTATAAAAACTTTCTTTTAATATTTACAACAAATCAACTCTATACACTTATTAAATTCTTTAATGATAACACTAAAAATAGACAAAACAGAAGCTCATATTTATTTATCACATAAGCTTACTATTCTATCAAACCATTACATTCTTTTTACTAATGATTTTCTCAATATACCTCTTAAATCTCAACCTAATTCTCAAACTGTTAATCATATATTTAATAACATTAAATTCAAATCACAAAGTAAATGCAAAACTCTTATATACTTCAAAGTTATAAACACAAATAACATACTCTCTTTTGAATATACAATCATATCTCAGCCCTTCAACTCAATAAATAAAAATTTATAATCTATTCCTGTTAGTAAACCTCTTGAGCTATCAATCAGTACTCACAATGTTCAAGATTACAATGAAGACCTTAAACAACAAATGTGAGAAAACTTCTGTTTAATAAACAATCTTAATATAGTTAACATTACTGAAATCAAAATAACTAACACAAATGTAATAACAAAACTGCAAAAATCCAAACATTTTACATACTACTGGTCTTGCAGTAACAGTCCAAAAGCTGGTACTGTAATTATGATCAATAACTGGCTCAAACTATACATTCACAAAATATACAACCTTCCTGGTTATGCTATTATTATTGACTTTTCTTTAAACATGACTTCAAATTCTGCATTATATCAGTATATCTATATTGTGATGATATTCAATTCAGACTAACTGTTCAAAATACTGTTATCTCATAGCTTCAACAAGCCACAAGTTCAAACTTACAACCTATTATTCTGGGAGACTTCAATGCTCTTGATAATAATTTACATTTCTCTTCTATAAAATACAAATTATTGCATTTTCTTCAATATAACAACATGTATGACCTAGCTGCCTATACTCAATCACTATCCAATACTTAGCAAAGCAGCCGATTCCAAAGTCGAATTGATTACATCTGAGCAAACCATTCAATTATCTACTGCCTCACCTCATATAATACTGATGACTCTAAAACTAGCACAAATAGTGATCGTAAAATCCTAATTTTCTCTTGGTCCTTTCCCTATGCTCATTTTGGCAAATAACATTCTGCAACCAAAACTCAAAAAAGAACATTTTTCTATAAAAAAATGAATAAAGAACTTTGGCAATTATACACTAACCAAGTAACTATTAATCTTAGTTCTAACTATATATCTACAACTATTAATACAACAGAATCCTTGGAAACAACATGGCACAAAATCCAAATCAGTGTTATCTTAGCTGCTTTTAAACATATTCCCAATAAAAAAATCACAATATACAATTTTCAACATATATACTCTGCCAAAGCTTTTTTTTTACATCACAGTCTTAAAAAGCTAGGAAATATAATTCGACAAATTAAAGCTTCATTACGAAACCAAACACCTATATCCACAAAACTTAATAACACAATTTAACAACTTAATAATACTGAGAATCTCACTATTTCCTTCTTACCAACCAGACATAACCTACTAACTGACTGGATCTCAAATGCTAATGATGAATGGAAAGCACTTTATCATACATGAAATATTGAAAATATTAAAATAATTAGATAACAGATTAATGAAAATATAGCTAAAAGATGTGATAAACTTCAGTTCTAACCAAAATCAATGATTAACAGTATATTAAACTGTCACAAAGATCCTGTAAAATTTGACAACATCAAAACAGATCTT